TCTAAAATTCTGTTTGGTCTGTAACAGGCATCGTAAAAATACCAATTAAAACTATAATGAGATACCGCTCCATACCTATTTAAAGGATAAAAAAAAAAAAATTAGTGAGAAGTGCTGACAAAGATGTAGAATAATTGGAGCTCTCGTATTTCTGGTGGGAAAGCAAAATGTTAATCTCTGGCAAAGTGGCAGGTTTTCTTAGTAAGATTATGTTTATCATGTAATCTAGTGGGCCCATTGTTGGGTATTTAAAGAAATGTAAAACATGTTCACACAAAAATCTCCACATGAATGGTTATAGCAATTTTGTTCATAATAGCCAAAATCTGGAAACACCAAGTAGGTGGATCGACAAAACAATAAAGTCATATTCAGCAATAAAAGTAATAAACAGACAGGTTCTTTTTTTTTTTGTCTTTTTCGTTTTTATCGGTACCAGGAATCGAACTCACGACTGCCTGCTTACAAGGCAGGCGCTTATGCTGCTGAGCTAAATCCCCACCCCCAACAGACAGGTTCTTGATACATACAGGTTCTTGAGTATTTCTCAGAGATGTTATACTGAGTGAAAGAACCCAATTTCAAAGCTTATATACCATATGCCTCCTTTCATGGGGCATTTTTTTTTTTTTTTTTTTTTTTTTTTTTTTTGTCTTTTTGAGATAGGGTCTCGCTGTGCAGTTCAGGCTGGCCTTGAGCTCACTTTGTAGCCCACGCTGATCTTGAACTCGAAACGATCTTCCTGCCTCAGCCTCCCGAGTGCTGGGATTACAGGCATGAGCCACCACGCCCGGCTTCATGTGGCATTTGAAAAAGACAAAACTGTAATAATGGAGAACAGATGTTTGCCACAGGACTATAAAATGATAGCAACAAGAGAATTCTCCAAGGAGATAGAGCTGTTTTATTTCCTGATGATAGTGGTGCCTCTGTGAACCTGTGTATGTGGTAAAACTCATAGAAATTACCTCCCCTCACCAAGTCATTTAATGAAAAATGACATAAAACCAAATGTTGATTTGGAGTCTAACGCACTACCAGAAAGAGTGTGAATTGTTACAACTTCTCTAAGGAATAATTTCATAGTATCTTCTAATGATGAGCTTATTCATCCCTATTTCTCAACGATGTAGAAGTGAATAGTCATCAAAAGACATGCACATGAGTGATGGTGACAGCATTATGCAGAATACCCCAGACTGGAAAATAATAACATCCCAGAAAGAAAGTCCCCTTCTGCAGGCTGGGATTCAGACATCGGGGTTCACTGGGTAGCAGAAAAGTTTCATGATTTCCCTAGACTTGACCTTGTATATAGTTCCTTCTAGAATGAGTACTGTTGGGCAGATCTAATCATCAGAAGTATACTTAGGTGTGCATTGGGGAAAGAAATCAGCTAGAACTGGCAAATAGGAACTATTATCCAGAGTCAGGCATCCAAGACTAGGAAGCCCACTGCTGTGTTGCCTGGGAGACTCTTTGAGAATCTGTCTGTTGTTAAACTGCTAAAACTCAGTAGGACTCTTTGGAGAAGGTCTGGTTACATACAACTCACTGGATGGTAGAGAAGTTTATCAAATGCTTCTGGGTTACCATACTCCACTGGCACGCACATCAGAAGAAGAAAAAACAAGCTGAAGCACAAGGAAGCCAGGAAGGAAAATTTCTTCCCTTTGCAGTGTCCCTCCAGTTCTCTTTATTGACAGAGTTTCAGTATGCAACGTACCAACTGCAAAAGAAAGCAGCTTGTAGGGCCTGGGTCCATTATCACAGAACAAGTAAGGAAAGATCTGTTTGAGAAGCAGTAAATAGACAGTGGGTCCACTGCAGAACAGTGATGAATATTTTTTTTTTTGTTTTTTGTTTGTTTTTTGAGACAAGGTCTTGCTATGTAGTTGAGGCTGGCCTTCAACTCATGTTAGTCCTCCTGTCTCAGCCTCCCAAATACTGGGATCACAGGCATGGGCCACCACATCTGACTAAACCATCTTTATAGCTAATACATTTTGTGTTTATGGATTTTTGTGGTTTTGAAATCTGTGTCTTAATTCATCCCATTGTAAATATCACTAAATATAACCCAAAGTGAACAAAAGTTTGGGGGCTCTTGGTTTCTAAATTTGTAAATAGGATTACAGGTCTAAAAGAACTGCTATTTTTAAACAGAATGAATTCACCTATAATGCTAAAAGTTTAGTAGAAGAAGGGAGACAAAGGAAACTACGCGAATGCTATTTCATGCATTTGTTTGGTGGAAATTCATTCAGCTATAAAATAAGATTTGTCGTGTTTTGTTATATGCATTTTATTTTAGTAAAAAACTAATCCTATACCCTGTTTTAATCTTATACATGTACATAACTTTTAAAAATTAGTGTAAATTTGCACCAACTAGTTTTCAGTTGCACTGACAGAGTGTGAAGAACTGAGTCGGGACAGGGTTGGAGACAGCTGCTTCCTGCTGTGGCCTTTCCTGAAGATGAGTAGAAAACTCATCTTCAGCACTGTGTCCTGTGAATTCCCTGCAACATGCTCACACAGACACACACACATGCACCCACATGCACATTCTGATAATCCATTTTTTCATTACATAAAAACCCAAGAGTTAGTACTTTAAAAAGAAAAGAGGTTGTTTTTTTTTTTTTTTTTTTTTTTTTTTTTTTTTTTTTTTTTTTTTTAAGCTCACAATTTTGGAGGCTAAAAGTCCACAAACAGCATGGTGAGGGCCACCATGACAGATGGCATCATAGCAGGAGCATGTGTGAGAGGGGTGATCTTATGGCGAGACAGGAAGCCAGAAAGATTTGGAGTCAGGCTTGCTGTTTCATGACAACTTTCTCAAGAGAACTAACCAGGGTCCTGCTAGGACCGTATCAGTTCCTTCTGAGAGCAGAACCCCAAGTAACAACGTACTAGGTCTCACCTCTTTTAAAAGCTTTGCTCCCTTCTGCCACCACTGAAGACTAAGCTTCTGAATACCAATGCCAGTCTGCAGTTTGGGCATTCAGGATGCATTCTCTCATAGAAACACTAAATATCTTGGCTTGGTTACTGAGATATCTGAAGTATGTTATTAATTTAATATATATATTTAATGCTAATAATTACAGAGTTTTTTGGTTTGTTTTGGGGTTTTTTGGATGGTACTAGGGATTAAACCTAAGGACCACTGAGCTCCATCTCTGGCTTTTTTATGTTTTGATTTTGAGACAGGATTTCAGTAAATTGCCTGGACTTCAACCTTGTGATCCTTCTGAATCAAACTCCCAGGTAGCTAGGATAACAGGCATGCATCACCTTCCAGTTGTAGCAGAGTTTTAATTAGAAACTATTTCAAAAATATTATTAGCAGGCAAAAGTGGTGGCACACACCTGTAATCCCAGCACTTAGGAGGCTGAGACAGGAAGGTTGCCACACATTTGAGGCCAGCCTAGACTACGTCGTGTGTTCAAAGCCAGCTACATAGCAAGACCATTTCAAAGTAAACAAACAGAAATATATGATTTGGAATTTTAAGCACACATTTTCTTTCTTACATCCTAGGGAGCTGCTTCTTTGGGCCTCCTCCCCTTTTAGCCCATTTTTGGAAGGAGGAACTATAGAGAGGGTGGAAGGCTGTGTGGGCTTTCTAGTGGATCTAGTGGATAGTGGAGAGTGAAGTAGCCATGAGGCTGCAGGTCTCCTGCGTCTGGTGGCTAGGTGGTGGGGATATGGGCAACAGGAGATGGAGACCATTCTGTGACGGGGAGGGGTGTCTTGGGAATGGTGAAGAGGATGGAAGGGTTCATCATCACGAACAGTGGTAGCTACTAGTTTCTTTTTCTCGGGGGAGGGAAGGAAATGGTGTATAGGGGACCTGTCGTGACCTTTCCTGTGTTTCTCCTTTAGGCCCCTTTACCATGTCATCTTTTTTCCCTTGCTGTTTTCCTTTTGTTCTGATTGCCAGTGAATAGCTCTGCAGTGAAGTGTTCGTAAGTAGGATTGTTATAGAAACTTCAGAGCAGGGTTTTGGTTGGTGTTTTGCTCATTTCCTCCCCCTTCTTCCCTTTGTCCATTTTGGGGAACACAAGGTTTGAGAGCGTGAAAGAACAGGGAAAAAAAAGAAAAAAGGCTCCTGCAGCTATTACAATTGTAGATACACCTAAAAGAGTTATAGGCACACTCTTTAGGGGACTTATTTTCTAAAATGTGCCTTTTGCTACCTGATGGCTTGCTGTTACTGTTTTCTAAGAGTTTGTAGTCTAATGTGTATTCTAGCCAGTAGTTTTGAAAGAAGAGACCATGTTACCTAACAAAGCACTGAAAGCGTACAATGTAGTGTATTTATTTTGTGTGAGTGTATTTCAGGTGTGTTTGGTCTTTCTGGTGATAGCGTTTAAGTATTGTTAGTAGTAAATGAGATGTATATTGATATTTAATTATACAGAGTTTGGTCAGCAGAGCCTAAACTTTTGAGTCTTCTTTAGTCAGGCTCTCCTGCTTCCACACTGTCACTGTCCTTAGCTTATCATCTGTGGCATGTGGCTCCAAGAATCTGCATTATAGAATGTTTAGGAAGATTAAGAGTGGTGTATAGGAACTACTCAGTAAATATGATTTCTCTTCATTCCTGAAAGTTGTTTGTTTTTGTTTAGATTAGTAACCTGTGTATACTCTTAATGGCTCAGATTTTTTTTTCTGGGATAATTGGATTCTTGATAGACATTCAGTTTGGAACTAATAGAGCCTTAGTTTATTCTCTTAAATCAACCAAAAACATCAGGAAGAGCTGCCTATTTTTAAGAATACATGAAAATGACATCTTTAAAATAATTTAAATTTAAATACACTACTTTTGGTACTATTTATTGAACATACCAAAATTTAAATAAATGACAAGGAAGTAAGACTCACCCCTAGAGCAAATAGTTCTTACTGTTCTGTCACCCCTGTTAGTCCATATTTCAGTGTGTGTCTTAATAGTCACTTCTTATAAAGGCATTTGCTTTGTCTCTAGGTGTAAAACAAAGGTGTATCCAGATAATCTTCCAACAACAAGTGTGGTGATTGTTTTCCACAATGAGGCTTGGAGCACACTTCTTCGAACTGTTCATAGTGTCATTAATCGCTCACCAAGACACATGATAGAAGAAATTGTTCTAGTAGATGATGCCAGTGAAAGAGGTAAATTTTAAATATTAACTCCAATAACATACTACACCTTTTGTCACTAACAGTTTAAAATATAGTTGTTGTAATTTTTAACCTAATATAATATTTTACATATTTTAGTTTATCCTAAAAATATTTGTGGCATTTGGACTCATTCACATGTGGAAAAGTATACCATTATGAAACTTAAGGTACTACTTCAATTAATATTTAATTTGTGTCTGATCTTAAACTTATTTTGGAAGGAAATAATGCTTTATAATATAAATGTTTATGTAGAACAGTTAAAACAAAAACCCATATAATTTTGCTAGGATTTCTTCTGTAGGAAACTGTACCCTTGAGTTAGTGGAAAAAGACTAGATGCTACTTTAGGCATGGTATATAACAGAAAGTACAGTTTTTGACAGAAAAATGAACTCTAAAATGAAAGAACCTTAGTATTCCATGTCTTCTAAACCTTCCCTGTTACCTCTCTTTGTGAGTTTCAAAAATGTTTCATAGGTGGGTACGTGAAAAGGACAGCTGTTATGTAGTGTGACTGTAACGTCACCATCTCTGCAATGACTTTTTCTCAAATATATTTACAAAAATCAGAATTTTCCACAAACTTTCATTCTCATAACCTGTTTTATGAAACATTCTTTTGGGAAAAGATATTAATCAAAGGTGCTTTGGGCTGGCTGTATTTATTCTGAATTATTCTTAGAGATTGCACACTATAGAGTACTAGTAAAAAGATTTAGTCCATCAGTAAAGATGCTTGTTAAACTCAGAAACCTAGCATTTCCCAGCTTTTTTTCTGTAGCACAACTATTTAGGAATCATTAGCATCATGTGTTCCTCTCCTATTCTTCTGTTCACTTCAGAAAAATTTGGAAAGAATTACAAAGAAACATCTTTTCTTCCTTCCTTGACCATCACTAAACTTTAGGATCCATCATTTCAACCTTTTATTAGCATTTTCAGCTTTTTTGTCTACCCTCTCATTTTATCTTCTACAATAGCCTAAGTATTATACCTCTTCTTCCTGCTACCACACTAAATATGTGCATTTAATAGTAAGATTAATCACATTGTGCATTATTTGGAGCAATTTATGTGTTGATAACAATATAAGTTTGTTATTTCACCATATTGTACAGATACAAATGAAGCAAAAGAGAGTTCTACTTTTTCAAGTGTATAACATAATTAAAGAAATAATTTATATAATTACATAAGACATAAAAATTATATGATACGTAGTATGTCTCCAGATACATCCATCTTCCTGCAGATGACAAAATTCTCTTCTTCACTATCAGATAATATGTGTTTCATCCATTTGTCTATGCAGAATACCCAGACTAGTTCAGTATCTTGGCTGTTGTGAATTATGCTGCAGTAAACATGGGTATGCAAGTATCCCTGTGGTATGCCCACTTTAGGTATATCCTTGGGATCTGTATCAAGGAGTAGTACAGCTGGATCAAATGGTAGTTGCATTTTTAGTTTTTTTTTTAGGAGCCTCCATTGATTTCCATTGTGGCTGTATCAACTTATATTCCCTCCAGCAGTACAAGAGTTCTCATTTCCCCATATGTCTGCTAGCATTTATTGTTTGTATTCTTGATGATAGCCATTCTGATTGAGGTCAGATGAAATCTCAGTGTAGTTTTGATTTTTCATTTCCCTAGTGGACACTTGTACTTCTTTTGAGAAGTGTCTATTCAATTCATTTGCTCAGTTTTAGGTATTAAATTGATTTTTTGGTGTTAAATTTTTGAGCCCTTTATGTATTCTAGACATTAACCCTCTATCAGTAGAATTGCTGGTCCAGGTATAGTGGCGCATGCCTGTAATCCCGGCCCATGAGAAGCTGAGGTAAAAGGATTGAGGCCAGCCTGGACTGCTTAGCGATTCCGTCTCAAAAACACCGCCCCTCCCAAAAAAACGAAAGAAGAAATGTGGCTGGCAAAGATTTTCTCTCATTCTGTGGGCTGTCTCTTCATGCTTTTGTTTCTCTTGCTCTGGAGAAACTTCATTTTGATATGTCCCATTTGTTGATTCTTGTATTATTTCCTGTGTGGTTGGGAGTCCTTCTCAGGATGTCTGTGCCCAAGCGTGTGGCTTCAGGTTGTCCTCTAATGTTTTCTTCTGTCACTTTCAAAGATACAAGTTTTATACATAGATGTTTGACTCATTTTGAATTGATTTTTGTGCAGGATGAAAGGTGTAAAATCTTATGGACTACTATCATACAGGGATATCCATAGGTAGAAACATTGACAAGAGATTTTTTTACTTGGTTTGCCTATGTGTTCATATTTACTAAATTTAATATTCCTTATGGGAAGATGGTTTTTTTGTTTGTTTTTGCTGTGTAAATAGTAACTTTTTATAGGATATGGCCTCACTAGACATGTACATATAGTTAGGAGTGACAAAGAAAGTTACACAAAATAGCTGCCCTCCTTTTCCTGAGCAGACTTACTTAATCTCCACCTTATGTAAATCTGTGAAAGAAAAGTGGTGGGAGCAGATACCTACTGTGTTGTTCTACCCAAGGTGCTTAGTCGCTGGATAGACTCCCCTGAGTGCTACCCCAGAGTGCATGACCAGGGGACCGAATCAATTTCTGTCTCTCTGTCTCTGTCTCTCTCTCTGTCTCTCTCCCTCGCTGTCTCCCTCCCCCCCCCCCTTTCTTGCTTAGAGATCCTCAAGAACCCAGGTCCCCATTTCTTAGATCTGGGAATCACTCTGTTGTTTAAAATTGTAGTTTAAACTGCAGACTTGCTACCCAGATTAAGAATTATTTAACATAAGTTTCCTTGGCACCATTATTTAAATGGGAATTGTTGGGCTGAGGAACCAGAGCAAGTGATTTACATTTATGTAGCTCTGTAAGTCTGCCTTTTTATATTCATGAGATACATACAGGTCACCATCATTTCTCACCTGGACTGCTAAAATAAACCAACCAGTCTCTCTCCCTACTCATAGTTTCACATCTTCCCATCTGTCCAGCACAGTACATAGAGAGTTACTTGCAAACATGATGATGTAACCTCTCTGATTAAAGCTTGCATGATTTGATTCCATCTAGCATCTCTAGTCACATCTCAATCCATTCCCTACCACCCCATTCCCACATTTCTGTCTTTTGTCCATTGTTTACTTTGAATTTAATGAAAATGTCCTCTTTTCTACCTCAGGACCATCCCCTGTGTACATGGTGTTCTTGTTCCTAGAACACTGTCCTCTAGGAAATCTTTCTCTACCATCTGCAGTGTAGTTAACATCTCATCAGGCTCAGAGTTCATCTCAAATGTTACTGACTTAGGGAGGGATTCCTTCACCTCCATAGATCCTGCCCTCTTCACACATCGTGGTATACTCTGCTTTGCCACAGTGTTCATTGGGTTTCAGTTATTGACCTGTTTTTTTTTTTTTTTTCTTGTACTGGGGATCAAACTTACAACCTAGTGCTTGCCAGGCAGGCGCTTATGCCACTGAGCTAAATCTCCAGCCCTATTGACCTGTTTAATGTCTTGTCTTCAATTACTAGACTAAACCCCTCCATCAGGACAATTAGCTATTATCTCTCTCTTCAATGCTCACAGTGCCTGTTACATAGTAAACCGTGTGGAATTTATTGAATGCATGCATAAATGAATGATCTAACACCATTTAATCTTGACATTTACTAATTCTCTATGTATGTTTCCTAGTTAGAGTGCACAGTGTGAATAATCTCATGGTCTCAGGATACTTGATTTTATAATTAACATGAGTAACTATTAAAGATGTATGAAGTAGATTTTGCAAGTTTCTGTTTTATTGATGAACAAAATGAGTGTTACCATGAACTATAAACCCAGGGCTTGATTTCTTAACCAGTATGTATCTTACTTCTGATGGCCTCTGTTGAAACTTTATTATTATAAAGTCTGTATCAAAGTCAGGGGCTGAATTAGTCAATAGTTCAGTCTGAAGTTATATGACTGTAGCCTCAGAAGGGTATCTTAAGATATAGCACTTGTATACTAATTCTAATCTGACATGACTGTGTTTTTCTTGTTTTACACAGAAGGAAGGTAAATTAGAACCAGGTTTACTAGATCCTACATTTCATGCACTTCCTACTACATGTTAGCGCTCTAGCTAATATTTTTTTAGATGTTTGAACAGTGAGATTTTTCCTGACATTCTCACCGTCTGACAACTTCATGCTTCCTGATGGATCCTTAGGGGTCCATATGTAGGACAGTAATTGTAAAGATATTCTTACAAATAAGATTCACGTTTGTTTTTAAGTGAAATAATACTTTCTCACTATAATCTCTTCTCTTGGCTTTGTTTTTGTAGAATGAGGTTGGGTAGTTCATGTGTTCTAATTGTGTTTAAGGATTAAACCCAACCATCAGCCTACCTACCCAACCATCAGCCCCTTAATCTGTATCAACTGAAAGGAAGACACATTTCTTAGCCTTACTCATGAAATCCACAAAGGTGCAAGGAAGTTTGTAAAGTAACAAATTTTTGGAATTATCATATCACAGAATCCTGCATTTTAATATATTAAAAAAATTTATTGGGAGAAACATTGCTTAGTATATATCAACTTTGATATAAAGTACTAGAATATATCCCTACCACTGAGATTTAGTCAGTTTCCAGAAATAAATAAATAAATAAATACACACACATATCACATCAGATATTTCTATAGTCCTGAATTGTTGTCTCTAGAGTTCTCTTTAAGGATTTTCTTGCTGTGAATAAAAAGGTGGGGTTTGAAGTCATGTAGACCTAAGACTGAATTTTGAGTTACCTTGAGCAAATTCATGTAACATTCTTGCCTTAAATTTTCATTTCTAAAGTATGCATAATATCACTTAACTTTACAAGGTGGTTGTGAGAAGTAAATAAATCTGTAACTAGCATTGTGCTAAAAAAAATCGTGACAGAATGTTAGCTACTGCAAAATGGTGCTTTTCTCTAACATTGGCACTGCTCACACCTTTTTTTCTTTTTCTTTTTTCCTGTGGGTGCACCCACCTTTTTACTCAAAATCGGCTTAGGTCTTTCTGACCTTAAGGCTTAGTTCATAAGATGATGATGTTTGTTTTGTTTGTTGTTTAATCTATTCTCTATAGCCCAAATACTTAGAAATGTATTAGTAGAAGAAGAAATTATTAGTAGTCTAGTGTGATGGTACATACAGACCTTACTATCTTTACAGGTTTCACATTCCTGATTATTTCATTATTGACCCATTCTGATCTTACCAAACAGGCAAGAATTATTTCACTCTTGTTTGACCTCCCACCCCAGCATACAGGAAGTACGTTGGATGCCTACTTTTAGTATTTTAGGAGTCCTTTAATACACACAGCCTGACTTCTGTGAATCAGTGAAGACCTATTGGACAGTTAGTCATAGGAATTTCAGTAGTTCCATCTCAGGTATTTTTTTCCTTAGGGAGATTATTCTTGTGCCTATTGTGTGGGGAATAACTAGAACGATATTTGGGCATATCACCATCAGTAGCTTCTCTGCCATAAATTCTACAGAATAACCTGATCCAAAAGATCTTTTCTCTCTACTTTTGAGTAAATTGCACATTTTCTACTGCTTTTTTAAAGTCAGTTGTGAACTTTGACACCGGGACATCCTTGCCGTATGGGCGTAACCTTACCTGATCTCTTCAGGATAGTTCTCCTTTTCCCTTCTTCCTACCCCCATTTTTAACTACCTTCCCTTCTTCAAACGTTTTTTTTCACTGAATCTGTGTCTGTTGCAGATCTCTCTTCTAGCTTCTCTGCTTAACTTGACCTCATTTCTTCCTGATTCCTGATGAAAGAACTGGGTAGTCAAAGACTGATGATCAGCAGATACTTTGTTTTTGCGTCTGAAGAAATCTTAAAATTTTCAAAACTATAACACCTGTGGTGTATTTTGTTCCTTCTCTCTGTGGAGGTCTGGATTTAATGTTCTTGAACTACTTTTTACTGTTGCTAATCCTTAAACACAATTAGAAAAAGAAGCATCAGACCTGCCAGAGAGTTTTGAGAAGTATGATGACATCCTGTTCTGGGGATGGCTGAGCCAAAGATGCTCTCCTAGTTCCACATGTAATAAAATAGAGGCAGCTCTAGTCCATGCTGTCAAAAAAACAAAAAGACGTCACTGACAAAATGCATTTGTGTGGCACTGGAAATATTTGATAAATATGTAGTAAAGAAATGATTACGTATCTGCTAAGTGTGGTGGCACATGGCTATAATCTCAGCCCTTGGGAGGCTGAGGCAGGAGGATTGCTGTGAGTTTGAGGCCAGTTAGCAAGTTCATGGCCTCTCTGCAATACAAGTGAGACCTTGTCTCAAAAAAAAAAAAAAAATGCACATCAAAATTGCTTACATTTGGGTAATACCTATTCATTCTTGTTTTCATGTTGTTTTGTTTTGTTAATTTTTCAGATTTTTTGAAAAGACCTCTAGAGAGTTATGTGAAAAAACTAAAAGTGCCAGTTCATGTAATTCGAATGGAACAGCGTTCTGGATTGATCAGAGCGAGATTGAAAGGAGCTGCTGTTTCCAAAGGCCAAGTGATCACCTTCTTAGATGCCCATTGCGAGTGTACAGTGGGATGGCTAGAGCCTCTCTTAGCCAGGATCAAACATGACAGGTAATTTTTTGGAGTTTGTAAGTTTATTCTCAATAGACTTGTCCTAATTTTATGGTGACTTGTAAAATTTGGTGTTTTAAAAGGAAAGTACAAACAATAATTTCCTTTTAAGTTGCCTATAAAACGCCCTCAAAAGTAAAAGAAGACCCCATGCGAAGGTCTTGCAGGACAGTTTGCAAATGGTCTTGTTAATAAAGATGGGCTGGGAAGCATACTGTTAGGATATATACTATACACACTCTTCGCCAAACAGGAACAGAACAGATGGGCAATGAACTCAAGGCAGGATAAAACCTTTACTTGTCGTTGATCTCTAATGCTAACACTGAGGCAGGCAGATTATCTCTTCATCATCTTCATTGGAGCTGTAGGCTTCAACTTAGAGCAAACCAAGAATTAGAAGGGACAGATGATAAGTATGCCCTCAAATAGTTAACTGTGTATAGTGAAGTACTATGATCTTAGGTAATACAGGAAGAGCATTGATACAGTGCATGCCTGCATACTCTTTCATGTTACACATTTTCCAAAGAACCATCTGTTGCCTGGCTCTTAGTTCTTATGTTTCAGGGGAGACACTTAGGTCACCTATATGTTGAATTTCTGCTTATCATTGCAGTTTAAGTTATCAGCTGTTTGTGTCAATATTAAGTTTAAATTTTAGTTTATCCTGGATTGATTGTAGGACAAACTTTTACTACCCAAGTGATAAATGGAGAGAATTAAGGCCACTGTGTGTGTTCTACTTGTTAGCAAATGCTGAACAGCATCTCTTCCCCTTTTGAAAATGAATAAGCAAAACCAGCATTGAACTAGAGGGAGGATCTGGCAGCTTTAGGAAAGAGAACTTTGCTCAGAAGAAACTTTTCTGTAAATAATAGATGACTTATTTTAGGAAATAGTTGTTTGCACAAAGATAATACATTAGAATCCTTTAGAAACAGGAGCCTGAATCAGTAGTGATTGATGTGAGAGGATGACAGCATAAATGGGAATTGACTAAAATAACAGAGTGACTTCCACTGTGGGCTTTGTGGTATATTAGACATCCCAAATAACTTGTTTCAACTGAGAAAGCTAAAATGCTTCATTGAGTTGTAACAAAAGTTAGAAATTTGCCGGCCTCAAAATGAGAGCAAATGAGCAGTACAGATGCTGAAGTCAACTTTCATCTACAGGAATTATACTGAACTCTGGGAACACTAAGCTTTTGCCTTGACAGGTGAACAAGATGAGAGGATAGAGGATAAAGTCAAGGTCCTGCCTAATACAGGAATATTTGTCGATGTCGCTCCCGGCCGGCAGGAAGGACACACGACAAAGTCTGGCAGTGCACAACCTTTTCTTTTATTTTTCTTCTCCGTACAGCCTGCCCTGGGATCGCTCCCAGCCGAAGCCTCCTTTGGTCTGCTCCCCGCGGCTCCTTCTGGGCTTCTACTTCCGGGCTTCTCCTTCCCCCCCAGGGGTGGCACCAGTATATATACAGATACAGTGTCCAATCATGTTAAAGTGAGCAAGGCAAGCTGATTGGCTAACATCATCAGTTGCCAGGCAGACTATATTGTTGAGCGGGTTGCTTACGCGGTAAGCAGGAAACTAACGTGCTCGATGGGAGGGGTAATCTACCTCAGGCTTTACTCTTTACTACAGGCCTCACGTCCGCCAAGTGAGGCGACCGGGCTCGGGGCTGCGGCTCCCAACATCTCCCCCTTTTTTATTTTTATTTTTTTATAAATGTGCGCATCGTAGCCCTTCCTGGACTGGGTGCAGAGGCTTATGCCCTATGCGTAGGCCCACCGTAGGTCCTTGGCTTAGACCCTGGTCGGCCGTCCCATGGTCTGCCAAGGCCCTGAGGCCCTCGTCCTTTTTCTAGGGCCAGGCACAAACTGGACGGAACCTGGATGCACACAAGCTTGCACTCATTTCCTCTCCGTAAAGAAATCCCCTCGGAGAGAAATTTAGACCTGGGCAGCATCTAACAGTCCAGCGGCTTACGTGCAGGATGGGGTAGGGCCTGGCTTAGGTTGAGTCGCACCGGGGGAGTACGCTCTTACCCGTCATTGACTCTCCTACCCAGCTATGTCATAATTTTTTAGAGGAGGAGTGTGGGAAGCTCACCACCCCTAGACTCGGTCGTAGGCTAGGCGAGCGAGCCATGCATATGCCTGAGGATCTTCTTGTCCATTTCGGGCTACCGCTATTTTTATTCATCTTGTTGGTTGGTCTGTGATGGATCTCCGGTAGGGCAGGTCTGATCTTCAGTCGAGGGCTTTGTCGCCCGTGTCAGTCTCTCCGGTACCCACAGTGGTTCTCGTCCCGATTCCTGTGGGAAAACACAAACCGCGCCTCGGTTCCAGCTGACCACTGGATCCGGGCCCATCCATTGTCCTGTCAGGACATCTTTCCACTTCACCCACCCTTTATGGTTGGGGGAAGGGTTGCAGTGCTCCACGGCTGGGGAGCAATTATCATTATTTAAATTTAAAAAATTGTGTGTGAATAGTGCCATGGATAATCGTGCCTTTGGGGCCAGGCCTTGGCCTACTCCCCCTTTTTGTTTTTGTAAAATTTCTTTGAGGCTTCTATGAGCCCTCTCAATGATTCCTTGACCTTGGGGATTGTATGGGATACCATGTTTTAATTGAACCTCCATCATTTTGCAGAACTCATTGAAGGCTTTGCCTATATAGGCTGGTCCATTATCAGTTTTTAATATTTTTGGTTTGCCCCATGTGGCCCAAGCCGCCAGGCAATGATTGATCACATTAGACACTTTTTCACCTGTTTCTGCTGTTGCAAATATGACGTGAGAACAGGTGTCTGTGGAAACATGAACATATTTAAGAGTCCCAAACTCCTGTATATGTGTGATGTCCATCTGCCAAACATCACCAGGGATCAAACCTCGAGGGTTTACTCCCATCGGTATGGCAGGTTTGTATGTGGCACAGGAGTCACATAGTCGCACGATATCTCGTGCATCTGCTCTGGAAACATGGAAATAGTTTGCTAGTGTCCTGGCATTGACATGAAACTTATCATGGAAGGCACGGGCTCGCTCGATTGGTGTTAGTAAGGTAAAAATCCATAACGGGCGAGTGGCAGTATCAGCAGCCGCATTCCCCTGTGCCATAGGCCCTGGCAGGGATGTATGTGCTCTTATGTGGGTGGTGAAGACCTTATGGTGTCTGTTCTGAAGCAATGTCTGGATAGACAGGAACAGCCCAGCCACTGTGGAAGTGGATCTAATTAAACCGGCAGTCTCAAGCACTTGCATAGCATTGACCACATACCTAGAATCGGAGACAATATTAATGGCTTCTGAGAACCGTTCAAGAATCATTTTAACAATCTGCAGTTCCACCACCTGAGGCTGATCAGGTTCAAATTGTATGGTAACCGGGGGCTTGCCTAGGATCACATAGGCGCCTATCCCCGTCTTGGAGCCATCTGTGTATATTGTAGTTGCTGGGACTAATGGCTCAGAGGCAGTAACCTTTGGAAAAATTATAGGGTGCTGAGTGAGGGGGGCCAGTAGGGAATCAAGGTAAATCTGACACATAGTGGGACTGTTGGCCATACCTTGGGGCAGCGTTATCCACTCGTATCTGAGATCAGGGCTTTCTTGGTTAATGGTGGGTAAAGTAAAGGCGAACCTATGAGTGTCCTCTGGATGCAGGGGGATTGAGAAGAAACAGTCTCTAAGATCTATAACATAAACTGGCCAGGACTGAGGGATGGCTGAGAGAGCTGGCAGCCCCCTCTGGACCGCCCCCAGGGACTGCATCTGCGCGTTGACCGCCCTTAGATCATGGAGCAGCCTCCACTTGCCAGACTTTTTCTTAATTATAAAAATGGGGGTGTTCCATGGGGAGGTTGACGGCTTAATGTGTCCTAATCTAAGTTGTGTACTGACTATTTCTGACAAGGCTAATAGCTTCTCCTCAGGCAGGGGCCACTGAGGTACCCAAACCGGATCATTTGACCTCCAGGTGATTTTGATCGAAGTGGGTAGGAGAGCTTCTTCAGCGGCCCCTAAGAAAAACCCAGCCCTTGCCTACCTTTTTTGTTCTCTACTGGTATTGGGGATGTCCGACCCTGTAGGGCATTGCCCAAGCCTTTGCCGGGGGTATATCCCTGGTTCCTGAGTATATCCTTAGCCTGGGGGGAGCAGTTTGACGTAAGCGTGACATCCATCTGAGTGAGGATGTCCCTTCCCCATAGAGACACTGGCAACTGCAACACAAATGGTTGGAAATGGCCCTGATGACCCTCCTCATCGCACCAGAACAGGGTTGAAGCACTAACCTGAGGAGCTGACACCATCCCCAGGCCCTGCAGCGTGTTATCTGCAGTGTTGGTGGGCCAGTTGGAGGGCCAATCCTTTTTAGAGATAATGGAACGGTCAGCTCCTGTGTCTAGGAGCCCTGTTATACTCTTGCCGTTGACCTTAAGTGAGAGCATGGGCCTTTTATCAAGTATTATATGGAGTCCCTCGAAGACTTCCCCTGAGGAACCGAAACCTTGACTTTCTCTAATTTTTTGCTTTGAGGGAAATCTCCTGTGGAGACTGGGGAGCAGCAAGAGCTGCGCTATCTTGTCTCCTTTATTGATTACCATAGTACCCACAAGAGATTGAACCATAATTTTAATGTGTCCTGTGTAGTCTGAGTCTATGACCCCCGGGACTACTATGAGACCCCGAAGGGCCGTGGAGGATCTCCCGATCACCAGACCCACGGAATTTTCGGGTAACGGTCCCTTAAAGGTGGTTTCAACCACTTGAACACCCATATCAGGCACTAATATAAGTCTGGAGGCGACACTGAGGTCCACACCTGCTGACCCAGGGGTGGCCCTTGTTGAAGGCTGCCATCCTGAGCTGTCCTGTCTCTGGGGCGGGGGCCCGCCTGTGAAGGGGGCCCCCTCTGGCCGTTTTTTGGCCCTCTAACATCTCGTCCACAAATACGGTTGCCCTGAGCATCAAAGACCGACCTACACTCCTCAGCTTTGTGTGATCCCCTTTTGCATCGCCCACAAACATATGGTTCTTCATTCCTAGGGCGAGGCCTAGCATCTGCATTGTTTGGGCAATGACGTTTAATGTGTCCTGGCTCCCCGCAGGCAAAACACCCTTTAGCCTTACATTCCCCTTCTAACCCGCGAGGTCCCCTCTGCTGTACAGCCGCGGCCAGGAGAGCAGCCACTCCCGAGTTGGAGAGCGGCCCCCCTATCTCTCTGCATATCCTAATCCAGGCGTTGAGGTCCTTGTTCTTATGAGGAGCCATCGCTGCCTTGCACTCCTTTGTACATTGCTCAAAAATCAGCTGCCTTACCAGCGGTCGAGCCACTCCCGGATCAGAAAATATCTTATCGGCAGCATCTTGCATTCGGGCCACAAAGTCAACAAATGGCTCTGTGGTACCCTGAATTATTTTTGAAAGACACAAGGAGGCTGTTCCGGCACCACTTACCTGCTTCCAGGCGCGGAGCCCTATGGCGTTGATTTGTTCATAGACAGCGCCGGGGAACTGAGTCTGATCATCAGCGTGCCGACCTTCTCCCATAAGCATTTCCTTGTTCCACCCCCGGTTTCCCCGATTGGCGTTTCTCTCAGCCTGCTCTGCAGAGAACTCTGCGTACCAGGCTCGCCAATCCAGGTAACTACCCGAGGGCAGACACGCCTTTGCCAGCTGAATCCAGTCCGCGGGGGTGAGGGGCCCAGAAGACAGGTTCTCCAGCATGGCAATGGTGTAAGGCGCAGTCGGCCCAAAGGTTGTAACTGCATTTTTAAGTTCTCTAATCTGCTTTATCTCAAAAGGCTCCCATGCATTACGTCCCTGGCCCATAGCTACTTGTACAGGAAATATCCCGTAGGGGCCACTATCTATCCCAGGTGGTGGATGTACCTCATGAGACAAACGTCCCCCCTGCCAAAGCCGCCTGTAAAAATACCGACCCGCCGGCGGCGGAGCATAAGACGGCGGCCGTGATTGGGCGGAAAATGGGGGCCCGTGCATCACTTCCTGTTCTGGCGAAGAGGAAGGGAGCTCCCGGGCGGCTGCCTCGTGGCGAGGGATCGCTTCCGGGAACAGCCCCCAAGGTGGGGCGGAAGGCTTCGCCTCCCTCTCGCGCCGGGGAGCGCTCAGGAGCTCCCTACTCCTCCGCAGACCAAGTTGAGCGGAGCGCAATTCACGGCGCAACGCTGGGAAAGAACCCTGCGACTCCTTATCGAGCGACTTAGGCTCCTGACAGCTGGTCTCTTTGGCCTCCTTGCCATTCAACTTTCCCTCGTCCTCGGAGTCAGACGACTCCGAGGCTAGAGCCCCGTCCTTCTCCTTAGCATCTTTGTTCCCCTTGACGGGCCCCTCTCGGGAGCTCCCTGACTGGGCCTGCTCAAATACCCTGCGTACTTTTGTAAGCTCTTGAGAGCTTTCTCCACAACCACCCTCGCTCTTAGTGTTGCTACCTAGCATGTTTCCCATCTTTTAATATGTTACTCACCGCGTGAGGCCCAAGGAATCCGCCACTTACGCGTGAGCCTGAGGGGAGTCTAAAAGCCCTGTAGGTGCGCGCCACCCAGAGCCCAGGCTTATCCCCAACTCACCTGTCTCGCAGCTCTGTACTGGAGCGTTGTCCGCTGTCACGTCTCGGGGGTGATCAGTCCCCGTGCGGGCCACCAAATGTCGATGTCGCTCCCGGCCGGCAGGAAGGACACACGACAAAGTCTGGCAGTGGACAACCTTTTCTTTTATTTTTCTTCTCCGTACAGCCTGCCCTGGGATCGCTCCCAGCCGAAGCCTCCTTTGGTCCGCTCCCCGCGGCTCCTTCTGGGCTTCTACTTCCGGGCTTCTCCTTCCCCCCCAGGGGTGGCACCAGTATATATACAGATACAGTGTCCAATCATGTTAAAGTGAGCAAGGCAAGCTGATTGGCTAACATCATCAGTTGCCAGGCAGACTATATTGTTGAGCGGGTTGCTTACGCGGTAAGCAGGAAACTAACGTGCTCGATGGGAGGGGTAATCTACCTCAGGCTTTACTCTTTACTACAGGCCTCACGTCCGCCAAGTGAGGCGACCGGGCTCGGGGCTGCGGCTCCCAACAAATATTGATAATACCTGTAAAGTCTATGTCTTAGTATAAGCGTGAAAAGTAGATCTGACCATATCAAAGAAAACTTGTCTGCCTCAACTTTGGGGTGGGATAGAAGGAGGAAAATAACTCCCATAAGGACTTGTAAGCAGAATATAGAAAAAAATGGGAAACAACCAAACTTTGAATCAATCATAAAAAATCAGAAAACAACTCTATAACCAAAACCCATTAACGAATGCTAGTACAAAAATCTTACAGCATCAGCAAACTGAATTCAGCAGTGTGTGCGTGACATGTATATAAAATATATGTATAAATGTGTAAAACTTGTCGTGGTTAATAAGTTTAATCTAACATTACAAAACCCATTCAGGAACCAGGCACACCTATAATCCCAACTACTCGGCAGACTGAAGCAAGAGTATTGCAAGTTGGTGAGGCCAGCTTAGTTAACAACCCTGTCTCAGTTTTTAAAAAAAAAATTTTTTGAAGGGGACTGGGAATATAGCTTAGTAATAGAGTGCTTGCCTAGCATGTGTCAAGGCCCTGGATTCCATCCTTAAACACAAAATAGCAGCAAAAATAAATGAATAAATATTAATTTATGTAGTACACCCTATTAGCATACTTTTAAAACTGTGATTATAAGTACATGGTTACTTCTATAGATACAGAAAAATACGTTCACTAAAATTTAATATCCATTTATTATTAGAAAATACTTGGTAAATGTTGTAGAATGGAAATTTACTGATCAGAGGGAGAAGAGCTTGAGGATAAGAACACCTCAGCAAGCAAACACTGTATAAGTGGGAAAGTGTTGAGCATCCTTAAAAAGATACTGAACGAGATACTCCTCAGAAACAAAGTTCAGAATCAATACTGTTAGTATCATTAGAAATCTTTGCTGTGTAGTGATACAGTGAGGGAATGGAAGAATATTATTGTAAAAAAAAAATGTCAGTTGCAGAAGATAATGCTTGCCTTTGAAAAAAAGTAATTATACACAAAATAATAAAAATTTAGCAGTGTTGCCAAATATGAGATCACTATAGAAAAACTGTCTTGTCCATACCAACAAAGGATAGTTTCAGTGTATAGTGTAAAAGGATACTGTTTATAACAGCAATAGAAAACATAGACTGTAGGTACTTAGGAATATATTTATCAAGAGATGGACAAAATATAAAACTACATAGATTTTTTTTTTCTTGAGACAGTTTGTTTGCCTATGTAATCTAGGTTAGCCTTGAACTTTCTGTGTATTCGAGGGTAGCCTCAGCTTTACAAGCTCCTGCCTTAGCTCTGGAATGCTGGGATTGCATGCATGTGCCACCAAACCCAGCTTTTGAAATACAAAACTATTGAAATGCATTGAATGTTAATCCAGATGGAAAGGAGACTGATGCCTTGGTATAAGATGTAACAGGAAATTTTTTCACCATTGTTTTTAACATGATAAAATATATTTTTTCTTTTAAGAATACAGCATTTAACTTAAATAAATGTTTACAGTAAGCAAGGGCATTTTAAAAAGATTTTAAATTTTGCATTTATGACGTTAGGAGAACAGTGGTATGTCCCATCATTGATGTGATCAGCGATGATACTTTTGAGTATATGGCAGGCTCTGATATGACATATGGTGGATTCAATTGGAAACTCAATTTTCGCTGGTATCCTGTTCCCCAAAGAGAAATGGACAGAAGAAAAGGTGATCGAACTCTTCCTGTCAGGTAATTAGTTTACACTATCCATAATGTACTATTGGCAAAGCATTATGACACTTTGGAAACCATGAGTGTATTTTGAGAAACATGAAACAGTTGTGTACCTTTTATGTAATTAAGAACCATATTGCAAATATATCAGTATTTTATTTTATTTTAAAGTGGAAAAAATACAAGGGAAAAAAAACCCAAAAAGACATACAAACAGCAACTACAAGAACAACAAAAACCCTAAAACAGTAACAATGTATGCTTTCAAAACAAAGTGAAAGGAATTTAACAATGTTATAATATTGCATATTGTTATCTTCAAAAGACTTGCTTAGATGACCAGATATAGACATGCAAATTGATCTAATCATGTAAGTATATATCAGTATTTTAAAGAGGAATTTTTCTTCTAGCCATTTAATAAAATCAGAATTTTTCATTCTACAAATGTGTACATAAGAAATGACAGCACACATACATTCTTCTGTCACTACCCAAAAATTTTCCTAATGTGTAAGTCCAATCTGTGTTTCAGTAAAGATAATATGTAGCTTAAATGTGAAGCAAACTGTGGCTTAAACCATTTATGCCAAAGATTGCATGCAGTTTTTTGAATTTTTTGCATGAAATTCATATATGTTACCTAGAAATATTCAAGGAACAAGAATTTCAAGAGGAAAGTTTTCATCATGTTCTATTGTTATGTCCCATTCCAAAAATGGAACAGTAGGCATAAAAGCATTGTGTCAGTATGTGAAAGTATTACTGAAAACTGGGTCTCTGAGCTAAACTGTGACATTTGTATTCAAATGGTATGGTTAGAAAAACTTTTCAAATGTATAAATAACTAGAAATAGCATAAAATTAAAAAAATTTTCTTATTTTGTAGATTTTTCTTTTGTTCCACACTTCATCATATAACAGGAGATCATATGTAATAAGGAGATAATGGTCTTTTTCTTTTTATCGGTACCGGGGATCGAACTCACGACCATGCACTTGCAAGGCAGGCACTTATGCCACTGAGCTAAATCCCCAGCCCCTGAGATACTGGTCTTCATGTTGTCAGGACATGAAATTGAAACCTTCTATACTGTCCTAGGATTTTTATCCCAATTGCATTCACCTGCTTCTTCTATAGATATTAACAATTCCTCCATTCCTTCAGAACTAGGCTGTCTCTTTCTCCTATCTGAGCTGCTCATGTCTATTTTTCCATAAATCCAAGCCTACTTCTGACAAAGTTGCAAAGATTTTTCACTGTTCTTTTCCCAAGCCAGCTTGAGTGCTTAACGGTGCAGTGAACTTACCCTCTTTGTAGCCGTTCAATCTAAATCAAAGGATTTTAAATATTTTGAAGGTGATAGACTTCTGAAAATCTGATAAAAGCTATGGGTCTTCTCTAATGGGGTAGAATCCTCTTACAGAAGGATGTAGAAGGTCAAGAATGCCCTGTACTAAACAGTAATTCTGGATGTTAGCTTGCTTCCTTTGACTCCTCCAATATTAACCCTTTTTCGTTCTTTCTTTTTCTCTTCTAAAATCAAAGTAAGTCCAAACCTTTTTTCAGGAAACTATTTACAATAGAAAGGTCAGAACTGCTGTTGTAAGCAGGGCATTGACATTCCAGCATTACAGAAGTGACTAGTTTTTTTTTTTTAAGGCAAGATCTCACTCTGTAGTGCAGGCTGGTCCTAAACTCACTTAGATAACCCAAAATGAACTTGAACCCATAGCGATCCTGCCTCAGCCTCCCAAGTACTGGGATACAGGAGTGCAGCACTACACTTGGCCAGTTCATTTTAAAATAACAATCTTTATAATATCCTCCAAACCAAGAGACATAACCATCATGCCTGACTTTAACATCAAACTAAAACTTAGTTTTTCCTAGGTAAAGTGTTTGTTTTTTGCATACTCTTTATCTGTCATAGAACTCAAATGATTAACTGATAGTCATTTATTTAAATCCTCATGTATGCCAGTCATGGTGACACACACTTGTAATCCTAGTACTCTGAGAGGCAAATAGGATCATTGTGAGTTCAAGGCCAGCCTGGGCTACATAGTGAACTCAAAGCCAAGGTAAAATACATAGCAAGACCCTGTCTCAAAAACAACAAAACAAAAAAACCATAAATAAATAAGTCTTCATTATAATTTATCTGCCTGATCTCCTTTGTCCTTTCCCAACTCACCCCTTTGCGTATCTGTGCCATGTTTGAATGAATTGGGCTCCTTTCAGGATAGTGATCTTTATGGGAGTATTTTGATTTTATTCTGTACTTAGTCTCCTCCTTTCCTTGAAAAAAGTATAAGAAAAGGACCTCATTGTTTTTATTCTGTTCACTGTCATATGTTTGCAGTATTTTCCAGCCTTTGGAACCTGGCAGGTTAACACTAACCTGAATCTAGTTGGTTATCTAGTTAGTTCATATAATTAACTGCCTTTGTAAGTAGAAACTATGGAGTGGATACACAGCCAGATGGAGAAGATTATAAAGAATAACTTCAATTGTAGAAATTTGAAGTGGAAGATCAGTCAGGACTTGAGGACTGAGGACTAAGGAAGATGCTAAAGACAAGAAATAATATCTTTAGGACTTTGACAGAGGGAGATGACCCGGCAAAATCTGTGGCAGGGACAATGAATCTACCAATCAGCATGCCCAGGGTGCAGGTCAGATCTGGCCTAGAAAGCTCTGGGGCCTGAAGAGTATAAGAATAAACATCATTCTGTATTTAAAATGGTAATAAAACGATAGTACTTTTAAAAACAAAAATGGGTTGTAAATTTTAAATCATTAAAATTAATAGTATTGTATTATTATTATTGTATTTCAGAACACCTACAATGGCAGGAGGCCTTTTTTCAATAGACAGAGATTACTTTCAGGAAATTGGAACATATGATGCTGGAATGGATATTTGGGGAGGAGAAAATCTAGAAATTTCTTTTAGGGTAAGTCTTAATCTCAAACATAAATATGCTTTAATTATTCATGTTGTCTCTAAATAAAAAAATGAAAATTTAATTTAATGTGAGTTTAATACTACTACAGAGCCCTTGGCCCATAAGAAGTTTGGCAGTGCTGTTAAAGATCCATTATAAACTCTTTAAGCAAACAATTCAGTTATCTTAATAGTTTAGTTAAAAAAATGTATACAAGATTCCCTACTTAGTTTTTAATTTCTGTTATTTTCAGTGAAGTAATTCAAGCTCTCAAAAATAAAATCTAATATGTAGTTTGTATATGTTATTCTGGAAATTAACTGCCAAAAGCATAATTTCACATCCCCTAATACATTTTTGTTTGATTTGAAAATTGTTTAATATAAAATCATGTCATTTTTTCAGCTTTATAATTGTTCATTTTTAAAAAGTCAAAGCAATTCTGAAACGGCTTTAAATTAATTCAGCTCACTTGACCTTACACAAACACCTTTTCATTTCATGTTCACTAAAACCAACTTTTTTTTCCCCCTTTTTGTGGCACTGGAGATTGAACACAGGGCCTTCACACAGAACTATACCACCATCCCTTTTTGACTCAAAGTCTTGCTAAAATAGCCTAGTGTGGGCTCAAACTTGTGATCCTCCTGCTTCAGCCTTCCAGAGTGATATGATCACAAGCAGGCATCACCACTATGCCTTGCTTTAAAAATCAACATATTTAGATGGCACTGTAGATTCTTTGCTAGTCAACTTCTGATGCATAGCTTTTATGGTATAAACCACACTGAAATGTATCATCATCTGAGTTAGTAAACTCATTCCCAGTGAATCCTCAAGCTATGAGATTTTTAGTTTTAAGGGGAAGAATATATTTTGAAAGGAGGAGAAGGATTATATTAGATTAAGGATGCAAAGCCATCCTTAGTACATCTTTCTTATGCTCCTTTTCAGTATTCTAATAAATACGACAAAGCTGTCTTACTGAAAAAATCATGATGGATCTGGTTTAGACTTCTAGATTCTGTTTACTGTACAAGCTGTGACACAGGTTAGAAGACGGGATAGAAAAGTATCTGATTGAATATTCCTTGGTTATATTTTTTTAAAGCCGTGAACCACGTTATGAAATACTTCATACATACACACACACTGAAATTGAACATTTCATGAGATAGATGTTCTCATTAAGAACTGGTCACAATTCAACAATTTGAATTTATGATCCTCTTGTGAGTTATAGCTTACATTTAGAAAAATGCCGCTCTGTATTTTATTTGTTCTATATTTAGCCTTCAGCCTATCTTTTCTGTATTTTAATCTACTTTGGTTTTTTATCAAAAGCAAAAATTAGAGCAAAATTTGTTACTGAGGAAATATTCACTCTGTAATCAAATAGTGGGAGCCCCACTGTATGCCTTGGATTCTATGAAATTCTCACTATGAAACTTAGTAGAAATCAACATTTAAACTGTCAATAGCTAATGTAATCTTCTTTGTTGTTGTTTTGCGATTTGGTATTGTGAAGGTACTTTGGAAGTTTTTGTGAATACAGATTTTTTTCATTCAAGTTTAAATAAAAGCCTGTTCTATTCAATTGAAAAGAAAATGCCATAAGAAGATGTACTTTTCCTGGATATCAAACGATGTCGTGTGTAGCCTTCTCTGCTGTTGTTTTCAGATCTGGCAGTGTGGAGGAACTTTGGAAATAGTTACATGCTCACATGTTGGACATGTGTTTCGGAAAGCAACACCTTACACGTTTCCTGGAGGCACAGGGCAGATCATCAATAAAAATAACAGACGACTTGCAGAAGTGTGGATGGATGAATTCAAGAATTTCTTCTATATAATTTCACCAGGTTAGTTTATTTTGCCTTAGAAATACAAGGCTGTACTTTGTTGACCTTGAATCTAATGTATTCTGAGAAGAGGCAAGAAGGTTAGAAGCAAAGCTTGATCAGAAGTGAACACTTGTCTCAGAAGGTCATTGTAAGAAAGCATAGTATAGAAAGTGCCTGGCAGAATGCCCACTGTGTCCTGAGCAGTACTACTAAATAATCCAGTTCCGTGTTACTAGCCCAAGTGTTACCCATGTTTTTTGTTCTTTAAACCTAACCTCAGTATTTGGCATTTCTGTAAGATTTCATGTTAATTTTCAGATGTTTTCCTGGCTTTTGTGACTTTCTGGATTCTTGACTTTTTCATCCAACATAGAATAACCACTGTTTAGCAGTGGATCATGAGCATTCTCCATAAGCAGGCTATAGATGCCATCATCAAGGCTTTCATCGTGTCATAAGGCCAACACAGAGGCTGCCTCAAGGGACTTTTCTGTGTTCTTCAGAATTTGTAGGAACTGTTGTGTCATCAGTTATATATCTGCTTGACATTGTGACTGTCTTGTCCTCATATTTCAGTTACTACAAAACTACCTAGTGGCAGCGTACTCAATTGAGTTGTGTGAGAGAAACATGATTGGAAATAATTGTTCTGTTTAATATTTAAACAAAATAATCTTGATTTGTGTGTGTGTATATTGCCTTAACATATATTTGCATGTAATAGTATTAATATATATTTTATTCTCACATAAATTTTACTTCGAAATACTGAATGACATTTTAATGTCTTTTCTTTGTTTTATGCCATGGAGGTGGATTCATAGTATACCACCAAAATGTGGTACAGTATATACAATGTATAGTGATGTATATAAATGAACATATAAATCAATGTGTATTACCTAATAGAATACAAATAATTGAGGGTTAATTATTTCTTTCAACAGGTGTTACAAAGGTAGATTATGGAGATATATCATCAAGAATTGGTCTGAGACACAAGCTACAATGCAAACCTTTCTCTTGGTACCTAGAGAATATTTACCCTGATTCTCAAATTCCACGTCATTATTTCTCATTGGGAGAGGTAAAAACATACATATTTTGTTTTTATTATGCTTTTACTGCCTCATTAAAAAGAGGGTAAAATTTCCAGTCTCCACTGTAGTTGCCTAAAAGTACCTTCATATTAAAATTACATAATCTTACCAACTTTGGGGAAGTTGTGGTTAGTTTACACAGTCTGCTTCATAATTTGAAATCTTCTGAAATTTTTTTATCATTCTATAGTTAATTAAAATAACAGTGCTGTATCTCTGACTTTTTAGACTCTTATTTGAGAAGTAGGACTCTTGTTACCATATAGTGGTGCCTTCAGCAAGCTTGTTAGTTTAACAAACTAACTCGTTTACTTGAGATCTTATACTTGTAAAGATATTATCTTAGTGTTAGTCCAAATGAAAGCTTGAAAAATGTCAAAGTCATGATAAATTGTAAAGAACTGGCAAGGAAATTTGAAAGATCATTCATAATAAATTGTATTGGGCTCAGGTTTAATTTTCTTTGGGAGTTTTAAATCTCTGGGCAAGAAAGTTGGAAAGAATTGTGATGCCTTTAATTTTTTCTCTTAGAATTCAGCACTTTCTTTGGAAACCTGAAGTAATCTGTTTATTAATGCTTATAATTAGTCACTACAAATTTGTTGTGTTACTAGTCTTTTTATCCTGATGGGCCTGTTGGTACTGTAGGATCTGGTATTAGAGGGACTTACATTCTTACTTTTTGGTGTAACTACCAGGATGGTCACTAGGAGCTATTTTGTGTGTGTGTGTGTGCTATCTTCCTAGAATATTAATAACCATCTATTTTGTTTCTTAGACTGACCTCTATTCTATGTACAGGAATCCAAAAAGATTCTTCTCATGACTCAGAGTCTGATTTTCTTTTTTTTTTTTTTAATCTGAAACGTTTATTTGCTAGGTCAACTTTTCCCCAAAGCCTGAGTTTATCCTTATCTTGAAAGAAGACACAGCTGTCTTCAGTGCATGCCCTTATTAAATCTCTGTTGCTCCCTCCATTACCAAGAAACAAGAGCCATTTTCCTTTAATTCACATTTATTCTTTTCTGTTGACTTCTTAGTTGTCATTCTCAAATTTTTGTTTTATGTTTGGCCTAGAAATTTCACTGTGTGTCCTTAAGTTATTATAGGTAAGTACAATTAAGTTTTTAGTCCTTTAAGTTAGTGCTTTCACTGTTTTGTAATTTAACTGATTTTTTTATCTACCTCAAGTTTTAGAGCAAAATTGTTAGATGCTATATACATTATGAAGCTGTACTTTTCCTTCTCCTCTTCATTATAGTAGAATACTTCATGCTATTGGATGATAAAGCTTTGAAGTATCATCTTCTAACTCCCTCAAATCCTTCTTTATATTAGTTCCAGGCAGTGATTTTCAGTGTGACCCTATAGTGGATTTTGCATCAGTTTTGCTGCTTAGAACCACTGTTTTTAATAGTCTAGATAGTCTGTCCAAACATATTGCTTACAATAAAATAATTCTGTCTTTACTATGTCGTACTGTAAAATGTATTTCTTACTGTCTGTTTTGATTCTTAAAAAAAGTTGGAAAGTCAGTGTCTTTTAAAGGATAGATGGCAAGTCTCATCTGAATCTCTAAATAGCTTTATCTTTTATGTTTGTAGAATTTATAAGCTGTTTTTTCTTTGTTAACCGCTTTTTTCATTGTCCACTTTTCCAGTAGATACACAGCTTCTTCTGTGTTTCATGCTTTCTTTCTCAAAATAAGATTTCTGATTTGTCATAATACCATCATTAATTTCTCTCCACCCCTTTACAGACTCTTTTGTTTGCTATTTGACTTATTTTTTCTGAGTCAATCTTAGCAGTTAGAAGACTTGTACATAAGCCCTTTTGTAAAAAAAAAAAATATATATATATATATATATCCATTCTTGTTTTGATTACATAACCACTTGACTTACAGAATGGCTCTAGAGTGGAAAAGGGAAGACTTCTTTAGAACTACAAGCATCTGATCATTGCTATCAGAGATTACCACATGACACCATGCAGGCTGAGTCCAACTTGCTGCCCATTTTTGTAAACAAACTTTTATTGAAACATGGCCATACCCATATTTACTTACTGCCTTTACTAGTTTTGAACATATGGCCCTCAAGCCTAAAATATTTATTATATGACCTTTAAGGTATTCCCCCTGCCAAATTTGCTAACTCTTGGGATATACAAACAGGAACAATCACTGGACCTACCTTATCCTCACCTGTTGTTTCTGTTTCTCTTTGATCACTTGGAGCCTTTATGAGACATTTTCTTCAGTTAATAGAATTAAACTTCTTTCTTACCCCTTAAATATAAGTAATACTGTTTTCTTCCACAAAGTTCAGTTTGTATTGCTATCCCTAGAGATATGTGTATATTGTATAATTTTGCCATTTTCCTGCTATTCTTTTACTATAGCAATGTGTTTCCTTACCAGGCTGAACCATCTGCAATTCATTGCAAGTCTTTATGAGCTTTTGATTATAAATTTGGCTTTAAAGAAAAAAATAATGAAGCTAAGTGGATGGAGGTTCTTTCTTGTGATAGGACGTAATTTCCTTTTGTAAGTCAAGCCCCTAGTGGTGATCTGTGTGGACAGAGCTAGCATCCAGTCTTCCTGTCCCTTCCCACTCTGGACAGTCATCACTTGTTTAGCTCTTTCATTCATTCCTAAAATATTTGAATGCTTAGCTATATGATAGGTGTTGTTTCAGTGCTAAGAATACAACAATGAGTAAAGTGACAACCCTGCTCTTTTAAATCTAGGGTCTGTGGGGGAACAAATTACGGAAAATGTCATGGGTGGAAAGAGCAGAAGGGATAGAGGATGACTAAGTGAGCATGGGTTACAGTGCTGTTTTATATATGGTAATTAGCCTCTCATAAGGTAAATTTTGAGCAGAGATCCAAAGGAAGTGAAAAAGTGATATAAATTTCTGAGGAAGGAGTATTCTGGTACAGGGAGAAGCAGGGAGAAACAGATTCCTAAAATTTATAAAAGTGTACTTGGCATGTACCAGAAACAGGAGGGAAGTTAGTTGCCCTGAATAGAGTGAACAACTAGGAGGAGAAAACATCAGTGATACGACAGTCAAATCATGTGTGGCTTGTAGGCCATAATGAGGTCTTTGGATTTTATTCTGAGAAAGATAGAAAACCATAGAGAGAGGTGGACAAACGTATTTGAAAAGAATGAGATTGTTTGCTGTATGGGCGCAAGAGCAAAACTGCTCTTTTGATGAAAAGAATATAATAATCAAGGATTATCTCAAGATTTTAGATTTTAGCCTAAGATGTTAGTACTGTGGAGTTGCCATTACTGAAATGGAAACGCCTATAGGAAGAGCAGATTCTGAAGGGATTTAGCCGAACAGTTTGGGACATCTTAAATTTGTGATCCAAGGGAAGATGGTGAGTAGATAGTGACATTTAAAAATCTATAGTTTGGGGAAGGTGTTGCCAGTTGAGATTTTAATTTAAAGATTGTTAGCATATAGATGGTTTTTAAAGCCACAAAGCTGCGTGAGGTTACTGTGGAAGGAACACATACAGGACCAAGCCCTAGGGAATTCTGCCATTTAAAAATCATGGGAATGAGAAGAAGTCCATCAAAAAGTGGAAAAGAAGGAGACAATGAAATAGAAGAATAACCAAGAAAATATCCCAAAGACTGAATAAAGGATTTGTTTGAAGAAAGAAGTACTAATAAACAAGACAAGTAACATAAATATGGGAACTGGTCATTGTGTTTAGCTGTGGGTATGTTTTAAACAGCCTCTGCTTCACAGAGTCTCAAGATGAGTTTCTGTAGAGATTGTTGAGCACCCTGATGGCTTTGAGGGAGAGTGGGAGAAATACGGATCATGAATGTGTGTCAGTCTTGCAAGGAATTTTGTTTAGGAAAACCAAGAGCTGGATGGTGACTGAAGGAGAACATGAGATAATGAAGGTTTTTAAAATTTGCTTATTTTTTATTAAGATTAAAAATGCTGATGTGAGTAATCTAAAGAAAGTCTATAGATACAAAGAAGAGCCCAGCTTCACACCCATTAGCATGGCTTCTATCAAGAAAAGAATAGCAAGTTTTGACAAGGATGTGGAAAAATTGGAACACTTGTGCACTACTGGTGGAAGTGTAAAATGGAATAACTGCTCTGAAAGACAGTATGCAAATACCTCTAAAAGTTAAAAATACAGGGGTAGAGATAGCTCAGTGGTAGAACTCTTGCCTAGCATGCACAAAGCCCTGAATTTGATGCCCAGCACAGAAAACAGAAAGAAATGCATAAAAACAAATTTAAAACACAACTACCATATGATGAAATAAACCCATCTCTAGGTATACTATACCCCTAAAGCAGTTGAAGGCAATGTCTGAACAAAATATTTGCAAATTTATGTTCATAGCAACACTATTCACAGTAACAGAGATGGAACCAACCCGCGTGTCCATAAATGGCTAAATGGAATGTGATACATACATAAAATGAAATATTATTCACCCTTTAAGTAAGAAGGAAATCCTCACATGTACTACAACATGAATGGATCGTGAAGATACTATGCTTAAGTGAAGTAAGCTGGTGTTTTTTATGTAAAAAGTATAATTCCACTTATGTATGGTACCTAGAATACCCAAATTCGTAGAAACAAAATAGAACGCAAACCACTACAGGCTGAGGGAAGATAGCAGAGAAATTTTGCTTAATGGTTACAAATGTTTCACATTTGCCACATGCAAAAGTTGTGGGGTCTGTTTCACAACCATGTGATACTGAGCTGCTTATTTGAATATGGTAATATGGTAAGTTTGTGTTTTGTTTTGTTGCGTTTCGTTTTGGTTTTTGACCAGAGAAAGAAAAGGCCACACTAGGAGTCATGTATTTAAGTTGGAGATGAAATCCAGTGCACAAATAGAGACTACTGATTGGGGATATGGGAAGAGAACAGTTCATCCCTTGGAGTAGGTTGAAGAACTGATAGAAAGGATGTAGATTTGGAA